CAACAGAACTGACGCAGCCCTGGGCATGATCAGACCCAGCACGCCTGGGACATCCTTCCGAGGGACCTGCCCTCCTCACCTCTCAGGGTGGGGGGCCTCTATCTGCTGAGTCCCCCGTCTTTGGGCTCGCTCTCCTCCCTTGTCTTCAGTTGCTTCCTGAGAAATGAGGGGAAGAGAGTTGTTTTGTGCCTGGGTTTTGGTTGGAAAATGTCTCTGTTTTATCTTGATGGATAGCTTAGCTGGGTCTAAAGCCCCAACCTGGAAACTGCTCTCCTCAGAACCGTCAAGGCAGGGCCTGCTCTCCCATACTCTTGTTCAAGGTGGCCCCTGGGAAGTGAGGTCATGCCGTGACTCCTGCTTCTTTGCGCTTTGTTTCTTCCCTTGTTCTTCTTAACATCTCTGGCAGTGTCTGGGTCATCGCCTGTGTTGTGGAATTATATGTGACCACTCCTTAGTGTAGTCGATCTCTCGCCATTCATGGTCCTGGGCAGTCAGTGAGCAATTGCAATAGAGAAAAACATATCTTTCAACCCTGGGAAATTTCCTTCTTCTTCTCCTTCTTAGGACAGTTTTTTAAATACTTGGATTAGGTGAGGACGCCTTCTTGGTTTGAAATTACTGAACGTAAAGTCCTTTCTTGCACACACATGGGTGTGACTATTTGGTTTCTCTGGACAGACAGCCTGACGCGGTCTTCTTTCTGGACTGGCTGTGTGTCTGGGCTGAGAGGACAAGGGGTCTGGGAAGCTCCCTGCTGAGTAAGGGCAGGCACTATCTCGTCGGCCCCTCTCAGAGCAGACAGCCTAAGAGTTTGCACCAGGGTCCTTCTGCATCATCATCTCCAGAGAGAGGACTGTCAATCGGCCTCTGCTGGGCTGGCGGAGTGGGCAGACTCCCACCCGAGCCCATGGTCTTCACCCACACAGCACCCCCCACCCCCAAGGCTCACCCACCCTGGGGCCACGGTGAGCGTGGATCTGCACTGTGACCCCCAAGCCAGTTCCCAGCCTCCCTCAGCTCCAGTCTGCAGGCTCAGCCTTTGTCTCCCTCTTACTCCCATTCCCGAGGGAGCCAGAAGTAAGCCATGCCCACCAAGGGCACAACTCCCGTCACCAGCCAGTCCTGATCCCGGCCTGGCTGCCCTTCCTCCTCCCCAGCTGGCCTTGTGGCCTCGGCACTCCTCTGCACCTGCATTCAGCTCGGGTTTCTGACCAAGGTGGGTTTTTTCATTTTCACCTTCCTCTACAGTTCTGTGGTTTCCGGGGAGTTTGAAGAAGGAGGGTGAGCTGGGAGGCAAAGGGTATTTATAGAGCTCTAGATAAAGACATGTACA